GCCTCCTGGCCCAAAAGTAACCTCTCAGTGGAGTCTCAGGTGGCTAATACGTGGCTGAGCTCATGACAAAGGCTCTTTCCTCTGCCCCACTGCCTACGTCACATAGGAACGTGCTGGTCTGGGGACAGCCGCTGCTCCACCAGCTGAAGGGAGCCCAGGGGCTCTGAGGACCAAGACAGGAGCCAACAGCCACCCAACCAAGATGAGGACTTGCAGCCCTTCCTCCTGGGACAGGGTGGAAAAAATAAACCAAAGGAGGAATAATTCCCATTTTACCAGGAGAAAGCAACTCACACAGCGATTCTTGTTTTACCTCAGGAAACAGCCTGGAAGCAGATGTACACATCCTCACAGCTAGGTCAGCTCTGGTGATTGGATGAGAAAAACTCTCCAAGGCTTCACTTTCTTCCTTAATACCCAGAAGTTCATGATTCCCAGCCCAGTTAAGGCCCTGACTGTTAGAGAAATCACAGGCAGAGCAAAGCAGACACCAGGAGCCCCTACAGCCCCTGCCTGGGCTGGCTCAGCTGCTTTTAAAGGTTGTTGGAAACACAACTGGGCTCAGCTGTGCTTGGTTGACTCTCACTGCCCGAGCGGTACCGGGGGTGGGTGCTGCTCTGCTCCCCCCGGGGCTGGTGTGGGTGCTGAGCTTGGTCCTCTTGCTGCATCCCGAGATTTGAGGTGCCCTGTCCTGGGGCAGGACAGGCAGCCACTGTGCTGGGGCCATGCCAGGCAAAGCCCCCGGGGTGTGCAGGAGTTTGGGTTGAGCAGTCCCGTCCTCGGAGCACAACTGAGCTGTCTTGGTGCTCACGCTCCGTTTGGATCATCTGCTGCTTTCTGTTGTGCATCTTCCAAAAATTACCCTCCGAGTGACTGTGCTGTAGCTCTGGCCCCAAATCACAGACTTTGTTATAGGAAAAGAAGTGAAAAATATGCCATGGCTTCTGTGTTTGGGAGCTCCAGAAATAAATCAAATCCTTGCTCAGATCTCTGCTTTTTCCTAATAGCAGATCAAAGCTCCTCTGGGCACGGAGACCCTGAGGCGTTTGCTAGAAGTGTTTGCTGCAACCAGCAACGATCCAGTGCAAATCACAACTGGCAAGTCAGCGTGAACAAGGTTAGTGCCACCTTGAAGCATCATCAGGATCTGAGTTAAATCTTTCCAGCCAGCTCTAAGTAATTCAAGCTATTTTCCCCCCTAGTTTCTTCGCCCAGCTGTGGTACCTTTGCATTTCTGGGGTCCATTTGGATGAAGATTTGGACATAATACCCCAAGATTTCCCAAAACTGCTCCTACAATTATATACTTAGACTAAAGAACTTTGTCTCCTTATCTAAACATTTGAGATCTACCACTAATTGCAGCCAAAGAACGAAGGGGAGAGGCTGATGGGACCCACGACTTGGCGTGGTCATTGCCAAGCTTTGTGCACAGAGGTGGGTTTGTGCACATGTGCGTGTGTTTGTACTGTACGTACCTTCTGCGTTGCAAATAAGGACGTGTTTTCAAGGTGAAGGCATCTTCTTGAACCTGCAAACCAGCAGCACCAACCAAACCATCTTTGCAAGAAGACCCCGAGAACCAGAGCGATGCAAATCTAGCAGCAGCAGCTGGTGTTGGCATCTTACAGCGGTTTCCAGAGGAGCCATCATCTTCTTGCACGTCCCTGGAGTGAAACCCGCAGGAGAGGTAAGAAGAGGATGAGCAAAGTGTCCTCTGTGTCCCTTCCCCCAGCACCTCCATGCGGCAGTGCCCTGGGGCTGAGACATGAGTTTGGGGGTTGAGGAGCTCACCAAGAAGCTGGAGAAATGGTTTGTTTCCAGAATTCATCTCAAGAAGATCAGCGAGAGCAAAGGCTCCTCAGGTGCCGTTGCCGCTGGGGTGGAGAAGGTGGCCAACCTCATCTTCTCATCCAGAGCCCGCAGCCATTGAAATCCCCAGGTTGGGTTTTTGCACTGTTGGGTTGATTGGAGTTTCTCACTGAGAAAAAAAAGATTCCAGGCCTGGAAGTTCTCTCTCTGATGGGTTTGGATTATTGTTTTACAGTATATGTTACCTTCAAGTGCTTTCGCCGCTCCTCTGATGAACTCTTCAGGCTCCACCAAGCAGAGGGGTCGTGGGGAAATCACGCTGCAACCAACTTCAAGAAGACATTCACATCACGTTGGTTTAGGTGGAAACAGTAAACTTGATTTATTGAAAAAAAAATCTATTACATTTATTCCTTTATTACACAGGTTTAAAATATTTAAAAATAGCTCTTATGGGCATTACACTTAAATTTTATGACATGTTTATTGGACTTTGAAGAAATGTACAATATGTCATTCGACACTATATTTTAAAAAGGGCCTTATGTACTAAAATTTTTTTCCATAGGTTTTATTTTTCTTATCAACATTTGTTCAAGTCATATATATTAAGGGAGGAGGGAAATAAAATTACACAAAAAGAATGTCTGCAAATACAAGTAGTAATTTTATTGCAATATACCGTAGCTAAGTGGTCTGGGGAAATCGGAACAGTTTGGAGCTCAGTACAATTACAACACTGTGGAATTCGACAGAGGAAATTATTTTTTTTTTTCTTAAAGCAAAGAAATAAAAGGAAAAATAAAAGAAAGAAGCTCCCTTGATGAAAATTTATAACAGAATCACATGACCTAGACAGACGCACACGTGTGTACATACAATATATGGCTTATCTGTTGCGGAGAGGAACGTGCAACCTTTTCTGACCTTCCCACTGTTCCTGCACAAGGCTCTTGCCAAGGTGACCAAGAGGCTGTATTCTCCTATAGATTATTATATACTCCTTTTCACTGCTTTGCTGCCGGAGTCTGCAGTTTTTTAGGGTAGCACCTTTTTTTTTTTTTTTTTTCCCCTCCCAAAGTGGAAAAAAAAAAACATGAGAGAACACAACTGAAGAAGGGAGACGGATGGACATGGTTCTCCCAGACCAAAAAGCACCGCGCGGCATCGCCGCTCCCTCCAGCATCGTTTCGCCTCCCTTCCTCGGATGCGGCTGCTCTCTGCTTGGGAAGGAGGGGGGAAAAGACATCATATATAGGCTTTTCTTCACAGTAAATGTGATGTCTTTTCCGTTATGGTGAAAGACCCTCCTTGGCTCAAGCATTGCTGTAATACTCCAGGCCATATAATAATAAAAAAAACCCCCAACCCTGCAACATCTATTTTTCCAGCCAAGAGATCCAACCAAAGAAAACGGCCAGGGAGAAAACGAAGGAACACATGGAAAAAGAAGATGGTGTCAGCAGGTTGCGAGCCGAAAACGCTGCGTGGAAAAAAAAATAAAAAGCCATCCTGGCAGAGCCACCGTGGGAAGACCAGGAAAATTGCAGATCCCCGGGAGCGCTCGGCGGGCGGGCACCCTGCAGCACCAGCATCTCATCGGGACATCCAACAAGTACATAAATTAGCACCACAAACATCCAGCGACCGAGTACAATCTGGTATGGTTACCACCGTATAAAACACATGAACATTCTTGGGAAGAAAAAAAAAAAAACCCAAAGAAATTAAAATAAAAAAAAGAAAACAAGATATAAGCACATTGAATACTTTTTCTACACGGGCCATATAGGCTACGGCAATAGCATTAAGGACAGGAGCAGGTCTTCTAGTGATGGATAAGAAGGTGGATGGAGCATGCACTTATAATCAAAGACTGGAGCAAAAAGCCTGCAGTGGGTGTTGAAAGGGGCTGAAAAGCAAAGGCTGCTGGGAGATTGGCCAGTGGCAGGGTATCACCAGTGTTGTATTAAAGTTATTCAAATAGATAGCACCAACAAAGAGACTTGTAAAAATAAAAAGCACCTTTTTTTTTTTTTTTTTTTTTAACACTTTATCTTCAGAGAGGACAAATGGTTTCCCCCTGCCACTGCAATCTGCCCCTGGGAATGGATTTTTTTTTTTTTTTAATTATTATTTGAAAAGAACACCGAAAGTAAAAAAGAAGAATTAATTTAAAACGTTTATGTTAAGGTAAGCGAGTGTATAAAAAGGCAGAGACTCAAAGCAGATCCTGCTTTTAGATCCGGGTTTTGTAGAAATCTTGTGAAAAACTGGCTTTAATTTCCTTATTCCAAAGCGAATCGTTCCAAAAGGCACCTGAGGCTCGGGGGGCTGGTTTGCCACTCATGGGACCCTCATCCTGCAAAGACTCGTGCCTGGGTGTAGCTCCAAGCCCTTCTGGATCCAGGCTCGGGGCTGGGAAGAGGTGGGAGCGGTGGGGACGTGAGCCGGCCGTCTTCGTTCCCAGGTGGATGCTTGGCTGGGGCGGTGGTGGGAGGGTGGGGGGTTTAGTACAGACGGGGTCACATGCATGTTTTGAAGCCAGAAACATCGCAACATTTCAAATAATATACAATACAAATATTTACTTACAAACATACAAAAATATAAGCACCTTTAATACATGGGAAAGAGATGCCCAGTGTGACTTTTAGCTCTGAAATTCATGGGATTGAATTTTGTAAAACGCAGAATTACGCGATTCAATGGAGATCTTGAAAATTCTGGAAATGGCCGTGACGTCTACGTGGAAGTCAACAAAACGCCTCCGATGAGCTTCGGCAGGGTTTAGATTTGAGCCAGGACTTCACCGTCGAGCTGAACGCAGGAGTTTCAAGTTTTTTCCATTTTTCCTTAGAAACAAACACACGCGCACGAATGTATAGAACAAGCGCTCGGTATCGCTTTGTGGGAAGAAGAAGAAGTCTTCGATGGTGGTGGGGTCTGCTCGGTGGCAGTGGAGCAGCAGCAGCAGGAGCAGTGGTGTGGGGACAGGTCTCCGGGCCACGCGTGCGGCGGTCGGTCATGCGATTCTGCGTCTGTCGTGGGAACGGTCCCCGCGGTCGGCGGGTGGGTACGCGCGGGCGCGGCGGCGCAGAGGAACTCGGGCAAAACGAGGAACAAAACAAAACGGAAAAAAATAACCCATCGCTGTCCAGTTTCAGAACGTGCATGTGACAAGGAATTCTTTTTTTCTTTTTTTTTCCTCTTTTTAATTAATTAAATGGCGCAATGAGGTTACGAGGTTGCTCATTTGGAGACTAGTTTTCAGGTGGCTCTTAGCCCATGAAGCAAGCCGGTCCCACCTCGAATCCAAATTTCTGTGACGCTTCTCCGAAGTCATTGAACATGATGTCGACTATAGGTACTTGCTCTACTTTGGGCGTGTTGATTTCCAGGATAGTCTTCTGATAGCCCTTCTTTGCCTGATGGGGAGAAGAGGGAGAGAGAAGAGCTCTAATGGTGCCTCCAACCCAACACAAGCAAGTTATCACAAATGAGCATTCACCAGTCAGCTGGGAATACGGTGATCATCTTGGCCAGGCATTTTCTGAGCTGAATTAGAGGCACCCAACACCCAAACACCCTACATTTGCCCTGCAGATTTAGCAGACACGCTTCTCAAGTGGGATGGTGACCACTGAGCAAACCCCTGGGAGATGACTGTTGTGAGCCCAGGCTTTGGAGCAGAAGACGCTGCTGCCCTGCAGATCAAAAGACACTAAAGTGCTGTCAGCACATCTCAGAGCTGGAACAGGAGCCTGGTGAAATAGTTGTGGCTGTGGTATAGTCGTTTCACCTCCCTGAGGACACACATGGGTTGTTGAGCAAATGCGAGCGATTTAATTTGAATATATTAGTTTGACTATTATCCGAGCGCTACCGGAAAGATCACATTTAAAGTTTGATAGAATTCACAAGGTGATGTTGTCTTTTTATCATGCCTGGTAGCCATACAGTTATTTCTGAAATATAAATAATTATTAGAGGAGCAGAAGTGCACCCGAGGGCATACAAAGCTGCACAAACAAGTGAATTTATGGAGCAGCTTTTGGCTCTACCTCACCCTCTGATTTGTGTGTCTCGGTAGAACGGGCTATATCACAGCTGCTGAGAAAAGGCTGTAAGATCAGCCAAACCACATTCAAACAACGGCCCCAACATGAGCCCTGTGGATCCCCCAGCACCAGCCACAGCAGCCTCGGTCACGGCCGGAGCACGGGTCCTACCAGAACCTCTGTGGCACCACTGTGCCAGGTAGCTCAATCTCATTTTTCACATGGTAAAGCTCAATCTTAAATACCCTGCCTGTGGTTCAGGAAGGATGACCTACCATGGTACTGGAGCCAGTATGGGAATGCAGGAGATGCAGAGCCTCCTTCTGCAAGGCTGCATGAACCTCCCTTGGCATATTTTTACCTCCTTTTTACAGCCTGCAGGAACATCTCTTGCCGAGAGGAAGGACTGGGGCACATCGGTTTGGAAGTGATGCCCAAAGCTCTGAGCCAGGAGACGATGGCTCCGTGCCCCACCATTGCACCGGGGCTCGTTCAGCCTCTCCGTTCTCCTGCACCGTGGGTGCCCATTGCTCTGGCTGCTTTAATTCCTGCCACAGTCATTTAATTGTGACACCGAGACCGGCTGTGCCAACAGCCACCTGTGAGAAGCAACCAAGTGAATCGACTCAAAGGAGCCATGATCCTCTTTCCATGCAATATCCCTCATCAGGGAGAGGACTGCAGGGCACCGGAGCCAAATCACTCAAACCAAGAGGGTTTTCCGCAGGCACAGCGGCCTTAAAACACCCAGCGTGTGATCTCGGAGCATCCCTGGGACTAAAGAAGGGAAAAGGAGGAGAAGGCACTTTTTACCGAGGACACATTGCGTTAGCAGGAGATATGAAGTACTCGAGGATAAACTTCCCCAGGTGGCTCCTGAGCGTTTCCAGGAGCGGGATGGATGCCCTTTCCCTCTCTGCAGGAGTGTTACAAGAAGAAGTGATTCTAATCTGATTCTCCTCATTGCTCCTACAGTAAAAAAACGTGTGTGTGCCAGAACAGACCCGCTTTCATCTCAAATTACGTGGCGGGCTTTTTCTGTCAAACATCTCAATCTTTCTGTCCCGTGGGCTTCGAGCACTGCGGTTGCAGAGGGTGAGAACGACGCCTGCTTTTGCAGCAGCAAGCTGGCTCTCAAAATAAACGCGAGCGGCGCCCACTTTGCCAAATTTTCAGCTCCTGAGGGTAGATTTTTCAGGGCTCAGTCCCAAATCAGGCACCCAGCAGAAGGAGGCAGAAGCAAGGGGAGGATGCTGGGTCCCACTGGAAACGCTG